CAATATAAAGATTAATTTTTTTATTATTATAAAAGAAAACAAATATGTAAAAATCAAATTTTGAAAATTAATCAAATTAAAAATTTTAAAATTGCATTTTTGAAAATATAATTGAATTAAATGATACGTATATAATTTTCTTGAAATTCCAACTTTCATATTTTATGAATAGTAGATACGTATACAATGTATAAGTTCGAATTTAATACTACTACATGAAGCGCGCATTCTAATCTAAATGATGCCACTTACGCAGTCCAGTTATCATTCTTGACATACACGTGTTCCATACCTCTTTCTTCATATAACATATATGCATTTTGCACATATGCTGAATAAATATTTCGTCGATTAGATAAAGTATACCTTAGGATACAGATAACCTCATTACCCACTGATGATGAGAATAGAAAAATATATACATAAATAATGAAATAATTTAGTTAATATTTTATATATATTTATATTTATTATATATTTTTTAAGTTTTCATATATAAAATATATTAAAATTTTATCAAATATATATAAATATGAAAAATATTATTCAAATTATAATATATGTAAATAATATAAAAATTAATCTTAACAACAACAAAATTAATCTTAATAAATTGATTATTAATATTTACAATGTTAAATTTTTAATTATTCTTTAATATATAATCTTGAATATAGCTTAACATAAACTAAATTTAAAAGGAAATCGAGATAAACGATTTACTTTCAAATAAATTTCTTATTTTCTTACCGGCTTTCTTACTTTCAAATAAAATTTTTAATACCAGACAATTCTTAGCCAATATCAAGATATTAAGATATTATATGACATATAATCAAAAAATAAAAATAAATTAAGATATTAATCTTTAACGTAAAAGACAATCAAAAGTAACAATATTCAAAAGATTCCGTACAATAAAATCATAATTGCGAACTGACATACCTATGTAAACGACTTCCATCTTGAGACTTTGTAGAGACGCAGTCACTGAATCGGCGACGTAACAATATCCAAGGGCACGTTAGTGAAAAGCACAAAATATCACATCGATTATGATTAATATGCTAAATACAGATTATCACAAATTCCACTATATAAGAATAAAAAACTAATACTGGGAATAATAACAATTGTTAACTATAAAATGAATAGAATCGAACTTCGAACCGATTTCAATGATGAGGTTAGAATCGTGCGCGCACAACGCGCAACAACAGCGATCCTTACGCGACACTTGTTGATTCTACACTGTCAAGAAGACCACTGTACCCGTATGCGCAAATACGTCGTCACTTACACACATGAACTTTTAACTTTCTCTCTCTTTTTCTCGTGCGATCTTTCTTTTTTTCTCACATTCTCTTTCTTTTTATCTCTCTTCCTTGTTTATCTTATTACTACTAACGATGGCGTTTCTTTTATGCCTTTACAATCTTTGATTGGAACTTATATGTGAAGTCACAGTATCGTTGCTTTTTCATGCGAAGAAATATCAAACACGGTGAGAGATAAAGAAAGAAAAATATTCAATAATATTGAGATGAAAAGAATATAAACAATAGCTAATTCGTAAGTCGAAAATATAAAAGGAAAAAAATACAGACGTTCTTACTTTCATACGAACGTCAATAAACCGCCGAACGAACTACACACCAGCCGAGTCTCGAGCAAACTGGCAACCTCGGAGTTCTGGACAAGTAAGGCCCAACTTCTCCCTCTTTTACCCGCCCTCTAGCAATGTATATGTCTTTTTGTCTCACTTCTTTCTATGAATTATTTTGTTCTTTCTTTTATTTTTGAATGGTTCTCCCTTTCCCTAATATATCGTGGATTTTATTTATTGTTCACATAAGAAAACAACATAAAGGAATATTAAAAATTTATATCCAATTTTAATTAAAATATATTAAAATTATTTAATAATTTATTGAATCAAAATTATAGATTTAAAAATAAATTTTATTATATTTTAACATTGCATTTATAAAGTAAATAGCATGTATATAATTATATGATAAATATATTGATATAGCTTATAGAAAATTAATAAATGTCAATCAATAATTTATTAAAAACTTGCCTTTACCGTACTATAAAAAATTGATTATAATTTTAAGTTTCATGAAAATAAAAAAATTATAATCTACAAGTACTGAAACAGGCCCCCAGGCTCTTTCTCGCGAACCATAAGGCCCAATGTATCACAGGTAAACAGGATCTCAGAAATCGAAAGAAGTAGTCTCTCTCGCATGGAACATTAGAATGGAACAGGTAGAAAGAGGTGAATCGTATAGGTCAATAAAAATTTTAGATTTTATTATCTCACAAATAATTTTTCATATAAATATTATCAAAATTAGTATAACAAAACTAGAAATAATAATCTGTAAGCTAATCTTAATAAGTTCAATAAAAAAAATTAAATTAATATAAATATAAATGTTTTAATAATTATTTTAATTTTAAGATCCAATCGTTATATTTCAATAAATGTATTTTCCATAATTCAATAGTCTAAAAGTTAAGCAAAATCGATATGTAATAAGATTAGTGCAATTCTAGGAAATGCATTTACATCTTTGTATCAGAGACCTCCCACAGCGTCGTCTTTTCTTCTTCGAATTTGTTCAATTTTAGATATATGTATACACACACACACACACATATATATATATTATTCATTTAATCTATAATAATATAATCATATATATCTATCATGATTTCGTTAAATAATATAATAAATAATAAAATGATAATAAAAATTTTTTATGACAATATAAACAAATTAATTACTTAATTTTATTATTTAATATACTTACAAATATCATCATCCATACTTCTTCCCGCTTGTATTTGCATTTAAAATCACAGAAAATATCTTACACTTATTTATTTTAAAACACACAATTTATGATACATATGATTATTAAAATCATTGTATATATATTATATATTACAACTATGCACCATGTAAAACAAATCACACTTTCTTTTATAATATTAAAAACTATATTTCAACTCAATATAAGAATTCTTATTAATAATTATGCTAAAATATTCAATTGTTTTATTTGTAAATTATACACTATAATTCATTTTTTATATAAAATTTGAAGAGTATCATCAAATTTTCAATATTTATGATCAAATTATTAAAAATTATTATAATAATATTTTATTATAGGTTTAATAAATATATTCATTTTAATAAATAATATATTTAATTTGTAGTTTTTAAAAAATATATTAGCTTTATGTAGTTCAGTTTTTAAAAATTTATTAATTTCATGAAGTTTGAATTCAATATTTTACTAAAGACAAATTATTAATACATCCATAATTGAATCTGGATAAGTGAAATTTTTATAAATAGAATGATAAAATATAATCGCACGAATTTCGTAAAGAACCTCTTTCGGTGCAGTCTATCGCGATACTGCAAGGTTGAGAAGCTTGTCTCGTAGGCGATCTTCTTTCTGGAAGTTAGCGCCGACGCATCAAATATTAAATTTATTCGAACATCGAAAAATAATTTTGATGTTATATTAACACATACATAAAATTAAATATAACTATATTTGATTTAAAAACATTATACAGTCTTCATTTTCGTATTTAAAAAAATAATCCCGAAATATTTTAAATTCTCTAATATAAAAAATACTTAAAAAATTAATAAAGTTTACAATTAAAATATTCGATTTTATATAGAGTTTATATAGATTTTCTGCTATTTCTATATATATATATATATAAAGGAATTAATCAAAAATATCACATTCTAAAAATATTCTAAAAATATCATATGCAAATTAGACAGAAAAAGAGCATGGGAAATGAAAATGAAAATGAAAAAAGAAAAATTTTATCAATATTAAAAATTATATTATATATAAAAAATGAGATATATATTATTCAAATTATATAAATAAATGAATAATATTTTGAATTTTATAATCAATATCTTGCTATTTTAAACAACTTAAGAGAAAAGTGAGATTTCTAATTGAAAAATTAATTAAATTTGTTTTTATTTCATTAATAAAATATAGCTATTTTATAAATACGAAATAATTATATATAATTTCTTATAACAAGGATAAAAAGCAAAAACAAAAAAAAACAAAATAAAATAAATAAAAAAAAATTTGAGGATCTTGATTTATCAATATTTTTTGAAGTTATTAAATAATTGATAAGATCATTGTTGTTTAACAATTATTATTGTTAATTATATTATATTGTGTAATTATAGAAATATTATTATTTTAAAAGTATAATAAATAAAGTATATTAGTTTAAAAATATAGTTCAAGATATTCTTGAAATTAATAAATTGAAATTTCATCAAATGATAATATACATCAATAATATTAAGTTATTCTATTTAAATCGCGTAAAAAAGATAATATAATTTATATTTCATAATTTATAATTCATAAAAATATATAATGTTAAAATATGATCACATACATAAGATTTCTTTTAAATAAATTTTTGTTAGTTTTTATTTATAATAATAATATGCATATTATAATAATAATTTTTATTTGAAAAAATTTTTAAATGAATCTATAGTTCAATCATTATACAAATTAGAAAAAACTACTTATGGATATATATGTAATAATTTTTTTTTTTATTATATATTTTTATATTATAGATCAAGGTGAAACGTGGAATGAAACGTGATCGTGTTGATCACTGCTATTTATAATTACGTAAATGACATATAGCACCAATAAGTGTATTTTCCTAGCAAATGAATGAAGAGTATGTATGCTTTATCGATACTATGTAATAAAGTGCTTTACACTTTGTTTTATTTTTTTAGTGAATCCATTAACAATTTATATGAGTAAATTTATTTTATTTATTTTGTTTATTTATTTATCAAATTATAAAAAATTTTGTATTATAAAAAACTTTTGTTTTTTTTATATATATACATAAATATAAATTATATATATTTTATCAATTTTAAATTACAATATTACCTTTAATGCAAGAAATTTGCTCCTCGACGCTCTCACCTTGCCATGGATTTTCTTCAATTTGAATAATCCAACGAATTTTTCTTGGTTGCATCTATAAAAATATACAATTTTTATTATGAATATTTAGAAAAAAAAATTCTGTTTATAATAAAATAGAATTTTTTATATATAATATTATAATTCAATATATCAAACTACAATCAAAATCAGTATTTCACATTAGTTTTAATCAATATATCAATATCAATATATGATTATTTTTTATGGATAGAATGTCTATAGATAATGGAATTTGAGTAAACTTTAACATAACTCAAACATAATTTCAATCTTAAGTAAATATAATTTTTTATAAGTTAAAATATTTCAATAGTTTTTTTAATAATAAATATATATTTTAATTTCTTCTTACTAAATTGAATAAATTATTAAAAATAAGAAACGATAATAAAATCAATATATAAAATCAAATAAATGAAATTTATTATATAAAAATTATATAATTGCATTTAAAAAAATTTTTTTCAATTCAATTTTACTGTTTAAATTGATAAAGTTATCATAAATGAAATTAATATACGTATTAATGATTAGATATTAATGATTAAATATAACAATAGCAAATTAAATCAAATCGTAAATTATCCTTCCATGAACATGAATTTATAAACAATACATATATAAGTACCTTAAATATCGTCGAGAAACATTAGAAAAATATTTATAAAAACGAGAACTATGATTAGAACTACGACTAAATATACTGTTACGGGCAATACTCGTTTCACACTGACAATGATTTACTTGTCAACGGAAGTAACACTCTATATTGTGACTATCTGATGGTTCGTCATATCGACCATGCGTGTTTGAATGTCGACTTTGGTAAGAAGAATTGTCAGAACTTTTACACCCACGGATCTATTAGTTGCATGTATGAACGATGAGAGTTTTCATCCACGAGACACAAGCACGAGTCACATTTAAATTCTTCTCTGTTAGTAGAAAAAATATTATTCACTATCAATTCAAAATGCATAATATCAACATAGCTAAAATTAAAATTGAATGTAATATAAAATTGTTATCAGTTGTTTGAAATCAAAATTTTACAACAATTCGTAAATAATAAATAAAATAAATAAAAAATTCATTAAAAATTAAAATAATTTAGTAAAAATACATATGAAAAAATATTATTTTAAATATTATTAAATTATTAAATAGCAATTTATGAAATATGAAATTTAATCATTAAAATTATTTTTTTTTAATTTATATTGTTAAATACGCTTTATTTAAATTTAAAATTAATTTTTATTTTAAATTTTAAAAAATTGTTATTAAAATATAGAGCTATTTTTAAATTAAATTATCTTAATTTGATTCTTTTTATTAATTGAAAGTTTTTAAATTTAAAATCGCATGAATCGATCTGCGTAATCGATCAAGTTATTTTCGATGCATTCTACGCATGCGTCAAAACTGTATAGAAAAAACGATTGACCACGAGGTTGAAATTAAAGACAAACATAAAACATAAGTTATATAAATTTAAATAAAAATTAAAATACAAAAATGTATTTAATGTATTATTTAAATGAAGATGGAAATCGAGTATACACATTAAAAGTAATAAATACGAAATACATTTTTTTATTTTATTAAATTTTTATATATATTTATTACTCCAAAATCCAAAATGAATTTCTTTTCTGCATTTATATATTATGCTCTTTTAACAAATGAAAATTTTTTTGCTTTATATAATATATATTTATAATCTCATATTTATAACCTTATTCTTTATTTTTGTTTCATAGAAAATTGATCCAAATGGAAAACCGACATTATCAGCCCATCCAGGTAAATAGATTTTATTTTATTTTATAAAATGATGAAATAATTTAATATTTCATAAAATATATAATAACAATAATAATAATAAGAAAATGATTACAGCTCGATTTTCTCCAGAAGATAAATACTCAAGAGAAAGAATAACATTAAAAAGAAGATTCGGTTTGTTACTCACGCAACAACCAGCACCTACTTACTAATATTTACATAATTTTATATGTAATCATATATTTATATATTGTATACAAATGATATTATAATAATAAATATAGCATAAATTTTAAAATATATATGTCTAGAATATATATATATTTATTTTTTGAAATATTACACAAAAGATTTAATTTCTGTTTATAACTTCTCATTTAATAATTTAAATATCATTTTATCTGTATTTAATATAAATTATATTTGAAATACAATAAATATTTTATATATAATGGATTAATTATTCATTTTATTTAATAAAATTGTTTATTCAGAATTTAATTCATCTTAACATGTACATATAAAAAATAAAAATTATATTTTAATTTATTGTACAATATGTAATTATTTTGAGTAGGATACAATTTTATCAAATAATTAATCTTGGGATTACATAAAACTAACATTTTCGTAATCTTAACATTATGTCAGAAATATTTTAGAATTTTATGAATAATTGCTTATATTAAACAAATTAAAATTTTTCTGGATTTATACAAATATAATAAAATTATTAATACAAATTTCAATTGTATTAATAATTTATAATATTACAATTTTCATTATATATATTATATTAAATTTAAAATGCAAAATAACAATAGATACATAATTGATCTGATTACTGTGTGTATCTTCATTTTTTGTCATATAAAAATGAAATTTAATATTTTGCATTAAAAATAATTAAAAATATACATATGGATTTAATTTCAAATAAATTTGAATATATATCTATTGAATTATCCATAATGTTTTATACCTATCTATTAATTAATAAATAATATAGAAATAAACTTTTCCATGATATTTTTGTAAATATATTTTATATCATTGAAAAATATTATTTTATATTATATAAATGTCGAATTTTAACATTTTCTAACATATAAATATTATATTGAGTATTATAATAATTATTTTATTTACATGGTAAATGGAAATATTTATTAAATCAAAAGGCAATTTCTTAATTAACATGGCAATATAACGATACCTTTTGCAATATTTATATTTTGAACAATGAAACTAAGAACTAAATATAATATAAATAATATTTATATTATTAATATTTCTTGTTCTTTTTATATATACTTACATATACTTACATTTTTCACAAATATTTATTATAGAACACAACATCTTTATCCTTGAGATGTTAATTATTTTTTCTTGATATTTTTATATTGTTTATATTATACAAACTATGTATAATTTCAAATCCTTATTCAATATTATGAGTATATTCTTGATAAACTTTTATACAGATTTTACAGAATTGTACTCAATAAAAAAATATTCAATCATCTTACAATTAAAATAATTTCTAAGAGTTTCAAAATCAAATAATATTATCATAAATATTTTATCATAAATTTAACTCATAAGAATCACTCATTAATCAAAAATTAAATATTTAAAAAAAACAATTTAAGATAATTATGCTATTATATGTACATAATGAAAAAATTATAAGTACATATATTAAAATAATAAATTTTTTTACGATTTGTTTTGAATTAAATTGAATAAGAAAATATATTGATTGAATATTATATGTGGACTACATAACAATATTAGAAAATTAACATTATTTAATAAATTTGCTAAAACATAAATCACATTATTGTATGAAAAAAAGATCATATTATTATAGTTGTATTACAGAACTAAAAAACTTTGGAATTTGATTTACTATTCAAATATTGTCATATTGTTTTTCTGCTTTTTAATAGCAGAACTTAAGTTTATAATTTCTTATTATATAAATGTACAGTGATGCATATTAAAATTTGATTTTTGAACAAACATTATATAAACATATAATTTCAAACAATATATATAAATTGTGTTTGTCCAAAACTCAAATTTCAATTAAAAAAATATAAAAACATAAACAAGCTTAATAAAGTAATGAATAATAAATTAATAATAATAATATTAATCAGTATCATAGAAATATACCAAATAGAACATAGAAACTGACTTGATAAATATACATACAATTTGCACTTAATAATGCCATAGATGTATTATACATTTTTAATCCAATATCTGCATTCAATTTGCTTCTGAAGGTGCTGCTGGTAAAACATGAACTTGCTGTGCTTTACTAGCATTGTAAACTTGACCAGGACTAAATGGTTCTAGTCTTGAACTAGAAACTATTTCACTTTTACGAATCATATCTTAAAAAAGTTAATAAATGTTTGTGATATAAATTTGTAAAAATATAAAAATTATATTAATATGTATAATATATTATATATTATATATAAATATATATATTAAATTTTATTATAAATTTTAATATATTATATATTATAACACTTACCACTTTTTGATTCTGGTGCAGGAATATATCGAGACAATCTCACAATAGGAAGAGGTAAATAACCACTAGTTAATGGCATCACGTCCAATGTGACACTTTGTTTTTCTAATACTTCCAAAGACACAATACCAGCAGTACGACCACACACAGCCCACATAGCTTGATCAGCAAGAACCTCATACATTAATTGTGGTGAAGGATTTGGATTTGGACTAGGTAACATACGTGTTACTGTAAGATAAAGATGGCACATGCTACCAGCACGACAAAATTCACCTCCATTTCCAGCTGCTTCAACTTTTGAAGACACTGTAAATAAAGTCTGGAAATGATATTATAAATAGAAACTCACCTTTTTGAAATATTTTTAAAATAAATTTTATATTTTACACTTAATTAAATTATCAATTAAATTTTTACATAAACTATAAATTTATTAATTCATATACATTAAAAAAAATCAAATAATTATACCCTTACCACATAATCTGTAATATCAAAATTGCATCTGTAAAGACTGGATGCTTTTTCCATTCTTTGTAAATTATGAATTTGCAAAGGATCATCATTAGTGTGTGAATCATTTAGATTTTCAGTATCATTGATTGATATATATTTTACACGAAAATCAGTCTTAATTGGCATCAAAGACTTTTCATCTTTACCAATTTCAAGTTCCCACATAAATGATACATTTATTCCATTACCTATTACTAATCTTTGACCAGCAATAGGATTTAAACTTTTAAAATTAACATCTATTGATGTTACTGTTGTTAATTCTGGTTCAATTAATTGTAGAAGATGATTTGTTAATCCTGTTACAATTATTTGAAGAAATTTTCTTTGTTTTGCTGTATGAAGTTTCATATTTGACATAAGTGGTGGACCAAAATGTAAAGGAATGCTTTCTTCTAAACCCCATGGACATTGTATATTCAACTATAAAAATATAATATACAAATATTTAATTAATATTAATATTATTAATATTAATATTTAAAAAGTACATAAATATTTATAACTATTTTTTCTTTTTATACATATAATTTTTTTTAATATATAATTTATATACATAATTTTAATCATTAAAATAATACAAATATATAAAAAAAGTACCTTATGTTCTATTGATAATGAATCTTTCTTTGGTGGTAATTCAGCTAAAACTTTAAATTTTAATTGTATTGTTTGAAATGGCTCACAAAGTGGCAGTGATATTTCTAATTCTTTAGACATTATTTCTTGTGAGCTATCAACTTTTATTATTAATCCCCTAGACGTACGTAATTTAAGTTTCATTTCCTTTGTTATTTTTATACTTCCACTCATAATAACTAGTTCTATATCTTGAATAAGGCCTGCCAATAAATCTCTACCACATTTCATGGAAATTATAGGCTGAGTTTTAGCTACTTCGTAACACAATCGAGGATTTAAAATAGGAGATAAAAATTCCAATTTTTCTTCAATAACTAATGATATTTGACCAACTTTGTAAAAACCAGGTTGATCAACACGTCTAGTTAATGTAAATGTATTCATACCTGGTTTTACAATGAATTCATCACATAATAACGCTTTGCTAAAATCACCTTTTGCATTTACAGATGGTTTTCTATGTTTTGTACTATCAGAACGTCTTACAATAGGCTTAGTGTTTCTGTGTATAACACTAGCAGATCCGAGACTTTTATCTTCTTTATAATCTAAATATGAATATACTTGTAATTGAAGTAAACTTGGATCAAATGGTTTCATATCTTCTAAAGTACATTTTGATAACAATGGTATTAATAGTTCAGGTGTTAATTTTGAACCTTTTTTTTTATTAGATATTAAAGGTTTTTGAATTTCTTCAACAGATATAGATGCTTTAGTGCAATTTACTTCTCTAGGAAATAAACTTTGTATATTTATTTCAATATTAACTACACAGTCTTGAACAATTTTATCCATCACTTTAATTTCCATATTATGTATCACAAAAGCACATCCAAATTCTATGAATAAAGGTTGTGGCGATGAGATCATTTTCATATATCCAAACATTTCTTCAAAATAAGTATTTCGCACAGTAATATGTAATACATCTAAACTAGCAATTGCAGCACATATTTTTGTATATTTCTCAACATCATCCATTCTTTTGTAGCATTGTGCCAATTCAAGTTGAGTTTGAGCTCCTAAATGACTCCAACCTTCATCAGTGTACGTTTTTAAAGCATCTGATAAAAATGCAACAGCTTTTTGGTTTTCCCCAAGCTCACTATAAAATTGAGCTAATTCTTTTCCAATTAATCTGGCTGATCGAATTCGACCTACATGTTTATAGGTACCCATAGCCAATTCAGCATGTTCAAGATATTGTTTTTTAAATGCTTCTTTTGATGAAAGTGCTTCTTTTAATTTATCAGTAGGTGTTAATTTACCCTCTAAATGTGATTCAGAATCTCCCATACCAGCTATTAAATAAACAACTGTATGTAACTGTTCACTAGATGGTTCATTTCCTGGCATTAATCCACATAATTTTCCTAAATTTCCCAACTAAAATAAATTATAATAAAGATTAACTATATAGTTAATATTGAAATAAAACTTACATAAAAAATATATAATTAACTAATATTTATATAGTTATTAATTAATATTTATATAAACTAATATTTATTTGAAATTCTATAATTAAGAAAATTATACAATTAATACTTCTAGCAACTTACTTTA